TTCCAAACACTCCTTTTTTTTTTCTTGCCTCTGCCCTTACCAATGTGTGACATTTTTAGTGGATGGAGCAGAGGAATGAAGCCTGAGAGGCAAATATTAGGGAAAGGAGTGGCCAAAGCTATGAACAGTCACTGTACTGACTGCAGCCTGCTGCACTGAGATCCACAAGAGCTACACCAACTCATGTGAGAGCTATCTTAGCAACCAGTCACTTGCCCTCTCCTCATTCACAGAACTACATTTCTCATCACTGCTTGTCAGAAAAGGATCCCAGGGTAATGAACTGCTGTTGCAGTGAGGAAGATAAGCTGGTGGGTGAGTAAATGGAGAAAGGGCACGAGGCAACAAAGGCATGACCATGAGAACCAGAGTTCCAGACAATTCACATTAAGAGTGCTTCTCTGCAAATATTTTTGGAGGAAACTTTTTTAAAATGAAAACTAAAATATTGAAGCATTCACCATGAATAAGCATACTGTGTAACAAGTGCAGTTCTATGAACAGAGTTCTGAAAGATACTATAAACAGCTCAGCATTTCTTCTTTGTGCATCAGCTCCAGCATTCCAAAACTATTTTATTGCTAGGCTTAATTTTCAGGCGAGGGAGAAGAAAAGAAAAGAAAAAAAAAAACTCATAATAAAAAAATGCAAATATTTATGTCCTTCACAAAAGAAAGCACCATTTTTGGCAGGGTTATCCAAATCTAATTAAAAACTGTGCTTGTCACATCTTCGAAAATTAACTGTCTTCACACAGGGTAAGTGCTGTCATTTGAAGAGGTCACAATAAATTACTTATAAGCAAGAAAAAATATTAATTCCTTTTCTAAGTAGCAAGCTCTACCAGCCCAATTAAAAAGCAAAAATTAGTGTCCAAAGTGAGTCGGAGATGTTTCCCACTTGCAGAACAGAAGTCTATGTGTTTAAGGGAGCAACAAAGCACATTAGGGAAAGAGGCAGAAGGCACAGAATGAATAATAGAAAAGATGAGAAGCAAGATTTTATGCAAATGTATTATGAATATCAATGCACCTTAAGACTAGAACGGTGAGGGTATTTTTACAGTGGAAACTGGGGGATTGACTTTCTTGTCATTCACTGCCAAAAATCAATGCAAAGAATCCTTTTCTCATGACGCTGTTACGATTCATAAATTATTAACCTGAGTCTTTTGTAAAAAGTTCCTGTTTACAAGGTTACTCTGTAAGTTAAAATGTTTGTTTCCCATCAGGCCCCTACTGTAAAGCATCTGTGGGTAGATTTACATGATGAAGTTGATAGATTTGTATTTTGACAGTACATCTGTCATCTTCGCTTCATGTGTCAAGAGGTCAGGTGTGCACTTGGTAATATCAGGTGGCTCATTAGTGTCCTGTGGGATACACTACCTTGTCTGCTATACTTTAAGTGACAAAAAATGTTATTTTTAGCCCTTCCTGCAGGAATTCACACCCCTTTCGTGATTGTTTATATTTTCCTACTGTCAGAAGATTAGAAAGAATTTGCAGTACATATACAGAGAAGAACGTGTAGAGGCACAGCACCACGTGAAAGAAAAGCTCAGTTCCTCTGCTCCTTCACACTTGCCCCATCAATCTGCTTTGCTACGGGTGCAAGTGCCCTGGTGGCATGTGAAACACAGGACTGGAATACATATTTAGGCACTCAGCACAGCTGTGTTACAACCTGTACAATCTCCAACAAATAAATACATAAGCCATCAGCAGGAAGCCATGCTCTCTACAGAGGTAAGGCCTAACCCATAGGCTGTGAAGTGGTCCAAAGTAGAATGAAGTTGCCTTGCCAAAGATTAGTTGAAAAGTTGCAGTGCCATTCCTTTACTCCCCCTGCAACATTCCACATGGATTTGTTAATCCTTCTGTTGTCTCTGGGCACATTTTCAAAAGACAGACTAGAGAACATTGTGCATTCATCCAGACCAGTGTGAACTCATCATCTTGAAGAGTTTCATATGAAACCAAGTGAGGGCAGAGTCCAGTCCTGCGAATGCTAGCATTTTTTTACAAAGCACCGATTTTATTTTGCAGGGACTTAGAGTAATGTATTTTGCATTGATTTTACCACTGTAGTAGATTGCTTTTCAGGCCAATTAATTTAAAGGGTAAGCAAACAGCTGACGGCTTTGCTTGCAAATCACTTGTTCTAGTGAATTTTAAGCAATGGGCTTATTTGTTAAAAACACAGTAAAAGAAAATAATTATCGTGCTTCTGTAAACTGGAGTCATTCAAAGCATGAGCTTGGACAGATCTACATCCTATTATACAGCAGATAAATTGATTGCATACACAATTTTTTATAATCTTTTAGGCTACTTTTCCACTGTTGCAACATTCCTCACCTCCTTCTAGTGGTAGCTGATGGGTGACATTTTAGATACTCCATTAAAGTGCAGGAAAATTATTTTTCCAATTATTGCAAATCTCTTCAGTCTCAGGAATAGAAAGGCTACAGGTCAACCATTCTTGAAAATGCCATAAAGTAATAATCCTCTATGTAGATAACATGAAGTATCTTGAGGTGAAGTTATCCCACCAACATCACCTCTTCTGGCTCCACATAGAGATCATTTCTGCAATAAGATGGAGCTTGCCCCTCTCTTTGCTTTCTTTTCACACCCAAAACAATCTTTCCTCAGAAGACTGAGCAAAAAGATTCCTGGCTGGAAGGCATTTATGCAAAAAAACTCCCTGATGATTCAAATTAAGACAATTTAAAATAAAATAAAATAAAATAAAATAAAATAAAATAAAATAAAAAGAAAGAAAGAAGAAGAAAAAAGAAATACAGAAAAAAAGAAAAAAAAAAAAGAAGTACACCCACCCACAACCTTGAATCACAGAGAGCACAAATAAGAACTCTATAGCTAAGAGCCATGAGCGTGGGCTTAGTAAACCTTCACCCAGTGCATACATTAAAGAGAAGGGATACAAGATTCCTAAAGTCTGCAAGCTTTTGGGTAAATAACTTTACTAATTTGTGCAATCTTGTGCCAGTATAGATTGCTATGATATGAAACATAACTTCAGTGGGTAGACAAAATATTTGAATTTCAGCTCCTCAGCTGAGAAGTCTTGGATGACTCAGTACCAAGATCTAAGTGGAAAGAGTCTGCGAAATTTCACTTGCAAAGACAAAATCCTTTCATACCCTGCATGAAGAAGTGACCTCTAGTAGTGCTGGACAGTCCAACTTCCCTAAATGTCCAATGTCCCTACAGGCAGGCACAATGCAGGTTACTGCAGAGGCAGAAAACTACAAATGAAACAGTTAGTGCATCTTTAAAAGTGACAGACTCCTACCTAGAATCTTCTCAGGAGTTACAGCTACCTTTATTAGTTAAGCAGACTACAAGTATGCATTGTATGCACTCCAGGTTAAGGCCAATATCTTGTTAAGAGCTATGTAACCACTTGTGGTCTGACCATGCCCATAGATACCTTCTAAAATGAAAAACTTGTATTGGCTAGGTGATAAATAACCCACCTTTTAGACCTGTCTAAAAAAATCCTGTTTTGGAAAGGGGCTTTTGTTTCTGAACTAAGTTCACTGAAGGGGAAATCAGTTTCCCATTCTCATGTTCCTTCTTTCCAAGCAGCAAGCTTCCCTGCAGCCATTAGCACCAAGAAACATCCTCATGAGCTCAGAGAGGCTCTCCATAACCAGCACGTTCCGAATCCCAAGGTGAGCAGATCCATTCTGAATCTGCCAGAATTACTGCCACAATGCAATACTTTGGGACTCTGTGCTGTGAAAAGAAGACCTTAAATCCACACTGCAACAGTTTATAGGCAATTATTTATCCTAAATAGTTAAAAGTTTCTGACAGGATCATCTGTATTTCAGTAAATACAGAAGCATCTCATGCTGTGACAGAAGCCTTGTCTGCCTTACCTCAGGGGCTGCTTGGTCTGCAAGCAAACTGCTATACTTTAAAGACATTTTCTATTGTAGTAGGTTTGTTATGAACTAACCCTTTGAAAAAAATTACAGCAAATGTAAAAAAATTATTCACTCTCTTCAGGTACCAATTCTAACAGAAATCCTTGAAGATAACAGACTTAGAGGAAAACGGAATAAAATCCATCACGGATTTAACAGAGTTGTAACACACAAGAGAAACCTGGCAAGGATTTCTATTAAGATAATTTATTTTCTAGATAAAGAAAATGCCATGAATCTAGTTTGACCTACATATCAGCGCATACATCTTCTTCTATATATTTATTTTGATATCACAGAGATTTCCCTGTCTAATTGACAAAGATAAGGACAATGTGAGGAACTCACTGAGCAGCAAACAATGGCACTTGCTGTTCAAAGTGGGATATGGTGGACATCCTCCTCAGTCAGTCCTGGGATCGTTCAGCTGTGGCTCTGCCACGAGGCACACAGAAGTCCTGAGCACAGGGACAGGCAGCACCCTGTGACCTCTGCCTGGGAGAGTAACAGTTCAGCAACAAAACTTCCAGGTCACACGCTGAAGTAGAACTGGCAAGAACATACCAACAAGAAGGTATGAGCTGAAAAGAAGCAAGCCTAGAATAGCAATGAATAGCGTTTTGTCTACTGAAATGTCAATTCAGTGAAGGAAAATACATCAGGGTCATACTAATTAGGGGAAAAGAAAGCAGACTTAAGTGAGATATAGGTATAATCAGGACATAAATTAGCTCAACTTGCCTATCAGAATAATATTTTACCAAAGGAGTGAGTGTCTGCAACAGCCTTTGGTTACAAATCATATGGCAAAACTTGGCAGCTTTAGGACAGAGGGAGGGGATCAATCTCTGAACCAGATTGCAGCAGGCAATGCTGTCCTGAACAAAAACCTGGACACAAGAACCACACATTGTAGATTCACAGAAGCTTAACAGTGGGAAGTAAGCAGAGATTGCCAGCATGCTGCTTACAAATGCTGCTCTTCTAGAAGCAGATATGCATAAACAAAGCCACTTCCATAGAGAACACACGACAAATCTGGAATGCTAATCTATTCTACTAACAGAGCCTCTGGCAAAGGCTTTAATTTTGCAATCATTCAGCAGAAGGGCCATACTGGTGTCAGATGCCAGACAACAGCATTAGAAGAAACAGCAATCCTCTAAAAAGAGACAGGTATCTATTACAGCATTTGTGCAGCAAGTCAGAAAAGGCTGTAAATCATCCCAAGATCCTCTGGAACGAAGATTCTTTAGAAATACAAAATCTTTGTCATCAGCGGAGGATCTAAGAAGGAAGTCATTCATGTGGGCTGCATTTCATAATCCCATGCAATCAAACTTATGCTCTAGTTTTCCCTTTCCCCAGGGGCACAGAATGCCCCTTCCAGGTGGGTGTTGTAAGGCACGTCACGTACCTCTTTTATGTTCCCCACAAGAAAAGCTTAATCAGATGTAATAAGGTTTGGGTCAATTCTCAGCTCTGCCACAAATCTAGCATATGAACACTGGTAAATAATTTTTCTTTGTATTTACATTCAGAAAGAGAAAAATAGTAACTTTTCTCTGAAATTCTCATTTATCCGCATAGATCAGAACACCTCAGCAATGGTTTTTACTAAGCTTTTATATACAGAAATTAGCAAAATAAATAAATAACAATTTGGGGCCAACATTGTACAAACAGGAAACAAAAAACAACTTTCACGGATGATATTCTTGAATAGTCAGATACAGAAAAAATAGAAAGAGAAAAGGCAATATTAAAACTTAATTGGGAAATAGAAACAATGGAAAAATACCAGTAATGCAGAACTCATTAGGGAAAGCAGAGTCTGCTAGGTAGAATCACTGTTTAGCTGTCCGAGGATAGAGCAGAACATTTCTTTTTTACTTATCACCAAGTACAGTGACCACCATGATCCCAGCTGTCATCAAATGCATAATCAAAAGTGGGCTAAACCAGAGAAATCAGAAGAAAAAGAACACAGGGCCAGACCTTCCCCCACTAACTTCTGTGGAATTCTCTGGCTGAGAGCTTGCACTCACTCCAGCAAATCACTCCAGCAAATCAAAAGCTAGAAAAGCTAAACATCATTATTCTGAACAGCTTCACACAGCTGATGGTATCTTCCCCACAAAGCTGAAAGCGTATGCACAATGATCTAAATTAATACAACATATTTTTTTTTCTTTTTCTTTTTTTTTTCTTTTCTAGCTATATAAAAATTAGATTTACATTGTTCCCCTGATATTTACATAAAGCATAACAATGAGTTCAGTAGCTGGGTCAGCGGCAGTTCATCTGCAAGATATCCATCTGCATCATTGCATTTCAGTCAGTTGTAATGCATCCTAAGTCCAAAATGATATACTGGGGATCAGCCTGGCTACAGCTTCACTTCTACTTACTGTTCTATTTATGAAGACTGATGACAAAAAACTGCAACAGGCAAATAAGAAAAACAGTATGAAATGCATCTACAATAATATGGAACAATTATGTGTCACAAAATGTAATCACTTGGAAATTCAGTCTGTCAAAGAACTGGACATTTAATTATAATAATCAGTCTAAACAAGAACTAATTGGAAGCGAAGATTCACTTTTATCTAGAATTTTTGCTCATGAATTTTAAGCATGTTACCTAGTAGGATATAACCAAAGCTATGAAAATCCGAACAAATTACCCTCCTTCCAGTAAGCCCTCCTTATGCAGTACAAGCATGCTCACTTTTTTTCTTTTTTCTATCTTTTTTTTTTTTTTGAGGCATCTGAATGCATATTTCTAGCTAATGGCTAAATTCGTTTCCATATCTAGATTCAAAGAGGCAAGGGATACATATACTTTGCTATTCCCCTAGAGAATGGATTTATTTTAGGACAGCAAAAGCTTTATCTACTTTCCAATTTTGTCTCTTCCTCATGCTTCCCTGCCATCACTTGTGAATGTAAAAATTAAAGTACCTATAACTACCTAAGGAAATAAATTCAATTGCAAAGATATAACCAAAGTATGCCATACTATAATCATTACTGATTTATAAGTGCCATCTTCTCACTTTCTAACAACCTTGATAGTTACTAAATCACAGCTGAAAATACACTAATATGTTATTTACTAACACTGCCATGTCAGCACTGGGATCCGCTTTGTATTTTTCTGCTGTACTGTGAGAAGTACCTCAGACAAACCCATAATGGTTCCAACGTAAGAATTTTCTTTCTATGGTATCCTAGATTAATTTCATAATCTAAACTCTTTTAGAGCAATTTTATATATCTCAGCATCACAAAGAAAGTTTTGTCCTTGATGTACTGCAGAAGTTCAGGTTTGTGCTTCTACAAAATGCTGTCAGGTGGCAGAAGCTAGAGAATCCAAGGTGCATTTCAGGTAGAACCAAATCTCCTTGTGTTTTCTCACTAAATTAAACATTCATTGTTCTGTATAGCAAAATCCAGCATCACGAACTGCAGCCACGGTTGAAAGAAGAGTTGTTCTTTTCACTAAGTCATTTTGCAAGTTCAAAGAATGAAGTCAGTAGCACCCTCACAAAATAGGGTCTCTGTCTAACAGCCAAGCAATGCAGTTGCACACACCATTGTTCCAGTAGGACCCACAGGTTTATTCTTTGCTACCGTGTTACCTATAAAAGAGGAGGAAACAGTTACCAACATGGAATTTTTCCAATGAGGATTATAAAACATGCTCCATTGTAAAACAGGACACATCATGAATGAACTAACCCCAGCCAAACATTAATTATGTTGTTATCCAAAGTACAAAGATTTGCAGATGAAGAAATGGCTGTTTACCATTAAACAGCCACCAACATCACATGGAACATCACTCTTCTGCTTCATTTAGCTTAGCATCAGTTTCAACACCAATGCCTACAGAACCAGTGTACCACTTACATCCCCAAGAACCATTCATGCAAAGTGCCCATTCCCAGCAGCACATATAATGGAAGGGATGTACAGATCAGAGAGAACGTCATGTGCAGTATGGACAAACTGCTGTTGCAACTGCAGTCCCTTCTGGATAGCACTTCCTCCACAGGATCCCATGGTCTTCACTTTATTGCACTATGCACACTCCATCAGGTGTGTTAGGGGTGTATGTGCAAGCCTTAATGCACGCACACAGTGCTAAGCAAACCCAGTGGGTTTGTCTGCACAGTGAGAGGCATCACCACCCTGCAAATGGGTAAGAATAAAGCAGCCTGCAGGGAGGAATTTTGGTCAGCTCTGCTCTGTAGCATCTGGACATGTTATCAAGCTTAACAAACACATAGCACAGTTCTTATTTTCCTCCCCACAGTAACTGGTTTAAATACAAGCCCTTTAGCTTTTCATGTATTTGGATGTCCCACTCAGCTACCACCTATACATCTAAACACTGAGTAGTATCAGGAGTCTCTCCATGCTTCATACACTTCAAGTCACTCTAATATTTTCGAATAAAATAGAAGACTTAAAAGTGATTACTTGGCATTTCCTCTCTTGGTGTGTAATTAACCTGAGGAACTCACTATCCCAACTAGCACTGATCCCAAGGTGTTAGTAGGCTTTAAAAATTGATTAGAAATTTAAATGGTAATGAGATCATCTTTGCTACATAACATAGAAAAAAAAAATTAGTATCGAATGGATCTCAACTCTCATGTTTTAGATGTAAGCCTACTACAAACTGAAAGCATTTCATATGTGGGTACATTTTCTATAACTGCCCACAAAGGTTTTGCTGTGTGTTTCCTATTTAAGTATCCCGGCACTGAGCTACACGGGTGCTGTATAGTTTGGACTACTGGTCATAGGGCAGTCCTTTACTTGTGCTGAGTTTTAATAATGCACTTAATTCATATTCTGCAGATTGAGTTGAGTGTGGACAATTATTTTGATCATTTTTAAAATAATAAAAAAAAAAGTTACCTCACACTTTTTCCTCTAATAAAGGTTTTTTCCATCCGTTCCTTTCCACTCTCTTTCCAGTTCAATACTGTATGTGCCACAAGCTTCTGTTCAGAATCTGGAGTTACCTTTATTCATTATATTTGTGCAGTGACTGTACCTTAGTAGATAATCACCCATGAGCAATGCAAAACGTATACAGAGGAAATATGGATGTGCTCTTTAAGGTAGCCTGCTACTCACCTGTTCCCTTCTCTAACATGGCCAATAACTAGTAAAGTTTAGGACTCCTCTCAATAAGATGTATAACCATTAACTTTGTTATTCATATCTATATTTCTGTTGTTGTAGAACTAGGATCTCCCTTATGCTGACACTAAGCACATCCACAATGAAGCACAGCCCTACTTTAACATTTGTAAGTCTAAAATAACAAAGGACAGCAAAAGAAAAGCAAAGTCATGCAAGACAAAAAATGAGCAGCTCTCATATCAGTAATGTGGTAGAACAATTCACATCTAAGTATACATGCCAGTTGTTTGCTTATCCTTTCAATTAAATATCCCTTAATCTCCTATGGTATAAAAATCAATGCAAAAAACATCACTCCACATCCCCGCAAAGTAGAGGACAAGTTTAATGAAATAGCATTTGCTCTCATACTGCTACATTATGCCCTCTGTTAGACTCACACAAACTCACCAGACTTGACGAATTTGCACAGGTCTAATTGCAGGCAGGATGATTTGTCCCACTCCAGCTTTATAAAGACATTTCTGAACTCATCAGAATGCATTGCTATATTCTGTAGCTTGCCGGTTGCATTTTTTGTCATGGATAATAAAATAAATGATTCATGCCAACTTTGCCCTTCTATTAGTAAACTCCCACTGAGTCAGGCTTCCTCTTTTCACTGTTTAAGAGCAAGAGTCATAAGTACAGGCTGTATTATATGTCTTGGGGTCAGTTGACCTCACTGAACTGAAAGGCAACTGCACACAGAAGGAAAAGACAGCAACATGAATGAAGACCTGATGCTCCAGCTGTCAATGCCATAGATGTCATTATCTTATTCAACCCCTACTTGTCCTGTCTCACCATTCTGTCTAATGCCACCACACCACACTATCCCTTATTTACATATGAGCAGCTGAAGTCAATGAAGTCAAGAAAAACTTCAAACGCTGAGGGTAGTCTATACCTTTCAGTAATTCCTCTGACTGAGCAGTGGCATTGGACCCGATGACCTCCAGGTTTCCCTTCCAACCTAAACCATTCTGTGATCTTTAAAAGAGGAATAGTGTTTTTCAGATTTTTCTGGTCAGATTTCTCCAAAGAATTTGCTATCATGGTAAGTGTACGGCTGGGCTCTGGACCACTGAACTCACTCCACAGCTGCCCAAAACTAATTTTCTCTTTCATCCTGAATTAGAACATGTTTTTCTCCTTAAAACTGCAATTGTTAAACAGCATCTGATGTCAGTGTTTGCTTATTAATTCAGACTGTTACCTAATCAACAATATTCATTTCCATTCAGAAGAGGCTGTAAAGGAAAAAGCTAAGCATATGTCTTTGCTGCTATAGCCTGGTGAAAGCTCATGTTTTATGATATATTTAGACATGCAGTTCACTATGACTTGTTGAACTTCAGTGCACTGAACTCACTTCAGATTGTTAAGTAGACAGAGAACATGATATTTTCTTTCTGCTGGCCATTAATTAAGAAATAGATGGCAGAGCAAAGCTTATTTTAAAAACAGGCTGTCTCCACAATGGCCTGTAATTAGAAATTATTGGAACCAGCTTGATTTCCACTGGTGCTCAGTGTCCCACAGTTCCAGTGACGTCAGTACAAATTCTCAACTCCAAAGGTTAGCTACTTCATTCCAAAACTAAAAGGGCTTTGCAGTAGTGCAAGAATATAACTTTAGATAATTTTACACCCTGGATCTATGCAATCAGTATGCAAATAGAAGAACTGATCCTGGAACACTACAACATTCACATCTGAATCGTTTCTTTGGTTTGACTCCAACATCCAATAACTCAACTAGGCTGGGAGCAAAGGGGCAGTTCTTACCCAGCATTTTCCTGTCTGAGAACAATTGCATTAATCACTCTTTCCAGAATACTGAAGATTCTAGCACTGGAGCTCACAACCACGAATGCTATAAAATTAGCAAATGCCACCAACAGACTTCTATCTATATTAAAATAGGTGATTTCTGTACTTGCCTTTGTGGTTTTGACTTTATTTCCACTGCTGCAAGACCACCCTGAGTAGTCTGGTAGCACCTTACAGTCCTCTCCATCCAAACAGGGGTTCATATGACACCACCACTTCTGCAGGACAATAGAAGCTTGAAAAAGAAATGGGAAAGAGAAACAGAACACAATCTTTTCTTAATACTGTTGTTTTTTGTAAGTAGGTTGCCTGTGGGTTGTTCAGTTGTTTGATTACAAAAGGTAGAACCCACAGTTATTGTTTTAGAAGCTTAACACACTGATCATGTTTGAGCTGCAGATATGGCTAAAAAAGTTCACCAGCACACAGAAGAATAAATGGCATAGAGACCAATGCTAACAGAGAGTGACCTAACCTCTGGAAGTGCCTCTGCTCCTCTACTGACTACAGAAGTTGCATACTCCCTTCATTTACATGCCTTAGAAAAGAACCTGCTGTAAGGCGGTAGGAAACTAAGGCTTTTTGTTTAATTCAGATATGCATATGTGAGACTGGACAAAGAAATGGCAGTTTCTCCCTCCACTGGGTAAGAAAATAGAACTGCACAGAAGTAAGCATGTGAAGTCTGTCAGTAGGTAGCGCAAATAAGGACATGAAAACCATTGAAAAGCATTAGATTATTAACTGAAAATCTACTTGCAGTTACACTGCCAGTTTTGCAAAATGTCTGGCAAGGCTTCAGTAGCACACTAACTGTGCAAATTTATTAATTTTCTACCCTTAAGCCAATTTTTGTTAATAAGCTCCCGCTCGCTATTTTTATACCCGTAGTCGTGACTTTTTAATACTGCTGGTAGCAGATACACTTTCCCAAAAACTAATGCAAACTTCTGCATGCATTTCTCAGTTTTGCATTGTTCACAGGATTCATCCAATCCCAGAAAAAGTGATTTTGAAAAGTATCAGTTTGTAATCATACATGAACTGGATTTCAAAATAAAAAATGGTTGGGAATGCTGATGTAGTTAGTCTGCATTATTCTACTCTGTGCACAAAATATGCTTTACAGTAAAGTACATCCAAAAGAGATGAACAAAAATAATTTAGTCTAATTGTTGTAAAGCACTTCTTTTTCCTTCTAATTTCAAGGTAGATTCATATCTCTGCAACCTTCAAATTAGGGTGACAAGCAGGCAAACTGACATAGGAATATTGCTGAAATGCTCATTCAATTACTTTTGTTTTGTGCTTTCATTCTAGGGCTACGTGAAGAGCACTATGAAAAATGCATTTCTGAAACACCAGTTTAGCTTCTATAAATGATTCTTTCACTCTCCTAACATTATAAAATGAACGCACGATTCCTGTCACCAGCTATTTGCATCCTAGATAATTTGCTTTGATTCTGATTGATTGCTGATGAAATGGATGAAACCTGGTTAGCTTCCCTAAGAGGTGAGGGATCATTTCCACTCCAGATAAACGGTCCAGCAGTTTATTTCATATCTTTGCTACTTTTTAAGAGAAAAATTGAATAATCACATTAATTTCTGTTAAATGTAACCTACTCTAGAAGGTGAGACGCAAGAAGACTGAGGGCATCTGCAGGGATGTCTGCACGAGATCCTGGTAGTAAGCTAGCTGCATTTACAGAGATGACATTCAGAGCCAGCAAGCCCTGCTGGGAGGCCTGGCTACCACATTACACAGCTCTGCACTGTGCTGTTGTGAGCATGGATGCATTGTCATAAGAGCTTGCCTGCACTCAGACAAGTGAGCCCGCTTTCATATTTATACCACTATCACCACATACCTTCCTGGTTCATGAAATGTGGGCCGTGTACAAAAGCAGTGAATCAGGCCCATCACTTCCAGCAGTACCATCTTCCATTGAAATAAGCAGAGATATGAGAAGGAAACGTTGTGGAGTCAATCTAACTCAAACAAGCTCTGCCTAGTTCACCTTCTGTTCGTCTTTTGTTTAGACACTTTCAGAGAAAATGACTCTTACCCTTCTCCTATTTGATTTCTATTCTGTGCAGACATCTTTCCTCTGATTAATGGAAACACTTTGAAATCCCTAATGCAGGTCTCATTCTATTAACTTTCAGCAAATCCCTAGTCCTTTGCTGTAGCACTGCACTAATTCTTATATCCATTTTATGTCCAGTCTCTTAGTAGTTCTAATGTCCACTATGCAGGCTATATATCCTAAATGGCTGTGGCTGTTTGTGTCAAACACACTCCTGAGATTAGTCTATTAAAATTCTCCATCAGTCACTTAGGTTTATCTTCAGAGTGAGAGCTGTTTAACTATTGCTGTCCTTGTAACCATGTGACTCCATAGTACATAAAAGTTTCCAGTTTCCAAATTGAGGCACTCTTGGAGAGGTTTCAGCAGATGACTTTTCTAGGAAACAAGAGCAGCTGTGTCACACTCATACACAACCACCCTAATGAAAGGAAAGGAGACTGCTTTAGTTTGACATTTGCCAGTCAATTTGCTGGTGGTTACCCTACTAGAAATAAATCTTCTGCTGACATCACTCCCTAGATGATGCAACTCCATGGAAACAGTAGATTCACAGAGATTAAGGCCAAAAGGTGCCAATACATCATCTTGTCTTGCCTTATGCAATTCACTGTGTTGTGCCCTCAGTTGTGTTCAGTTGCATTGTCTTCCAAGCCATTCTGGCACAGGTGAAGAAAGTTACTTCTCCCATTGACATTTTCCACAACAATTAAACAATCTCAGCATGAAACATACAGCTTCAGGGTTTGCTTTCTTTTTTTTCCTCCTCAAACCTCTTCTGCACTTTCTTCTACTTTACAGCATCTGTTAGTAACCATCATTTTCTCCCTGTGAAGGTATTGAACATGCTGCAATCAAGTCACTTTTCAATCATCTGCCTGATAAGCTGAGCTGATTCAACTTCTTCAGTTTCTCGATGCAGTGCATTTGACTTTATTAACACAGAGTTTTTTCAAACAGGTTCAACTCCCCACAACAGAGGACTATGCCATGTGACTGCCTTGAGCTCATCGTTAGTTCCTCCTTTGATCTGGATGAAATCCATTCTTTCTTTTTTGGTCAATATTTGCTTTCAAGTCAGTTGAAGGGATTACAAAAAGTTTATTTAATGATTACTTCATATTCTGCTTAAACAAATCCATGTTATCTGTAGTCATGACAAATACAGATGTCTTTCCTACCTCACTGGATTAAGCTTTCCATATAAATTTTCAGCCGACTATTCATTCTATTGTATATTTCCTTTTCTTCTTTGAATACTGACACAGCATTAGCATCCTTTTGAGTTATCAAGTATCCTGAAATACATCCAAATACAGTGAGAAGGAAATCTTATCTATTTGCTATGTATTGATTGATTTTTTGTTTTGTTTTGTTTTCTTGTTTCTCTATGGTCTCTTCCTTTCGGTCTGTAATCCAGTTGGCTTTCAGCCTGAACCGTACATTTTCTTCACTGTGTTTCTTTAACCCTATAGAAAACCTTTAATTATTTAGACCTTGAATCCAAATGCTTTTCCTCATAAATTCTAGTTCTAACAGACTTGGCTGGATGGAAAATGATTTGGGTACTGATGATTTACTTAGAGACATTTAAAGCACTTCACTTCTCTCCAAACAAAAGTTATTAATGTTTTATCTTCTTGGCAGTAGCTGCTAGACAACCTAGAATTGCTTCTTCCATTCCACAAATTCCACAAAGAAAATGGAGAAAAATGAAATCTCATTATGACTATTTTAAATGTAATTGTTCATCATTGACAGAAGAATGAGTTGACCTTTGTTAAGCAACGTTTTCTACAGCTGCAATCAAGTAGTATAGCCACAACTCAAGGCAGGATACACAGGCTGTATGGGATGTTTTCTCTGTGTACTTAACTACTTGTGGTCATATGTTCTGTTTTTTTCCTGAGTTTAGTGGCTCATTTCATCTACAGCAACATTTCTCAAAGCAGCAAGTTAGCCTGTGTCTGAAAGGTGGGAAAAAAAGAAGAAAAAAATACAGAAAAACGAGGTGTGCCTGTGTACAGAAGCAATAGCCTTGCTTTTCTTGTTTGCCAATACTTGCCAATAGCTTTCAGAACTAAGTTCAAATACACAGATTAGAGCTTCTTGTTAGCTACATCCAAAATACAATTATCTGAGAGAGAAGAAAGTTAATGAGCATGTCAATGTGGACAAGGGATTACAGAAATACCCTGACCCAAAGGCTTCTAGCTTTATACTCTCATTTAGGCTACCACAAGCAATTTTACTATGCTTGTGAACCCCTATTGAATATCCCAGACTATAACATTGACTTTAGCCTTTATATCCTTCTTTTAAATGAACTAATCTGACTTTTGCTGCTACCGGTGTTTAAAGTTTCTGGGAAGAATGACACTGTAGAATTGCAAAGCACTCTATAAATGTTAGTTAGGGCCCACAACGCTGTGGATATTATCATACCACACTGAAAAGGAATGGCTCATAGCACTCAACGCACTTAAAAGTTTCACTTAGTGTATTTATAAAATCTAAATATTTTTATATTCCTTCCTATACAATTTTAACACATTATTTTCCTTGAAATTTATCCAGATATTTATATTTTTTCTATAACTCAAAGTACCTTTGTTTCCTCCTTATCGTATATCATGAGGAAAAAAAGTATGTCACTTGTGGAGATCTATGTCTAAATGTAATCATATAAACATCCAGTCTGACTTCCCTCAAACAGGAGGCTTTCCCAAATTCTGGTAGCTCTGAGTATTGGTATGCTGTGCTCTACTTCTCCAAGCACAGTTTAGCCTTAACATACAGTACTGCTTTAATAAAGTGCTGGTTTAATCTGACCTTGTGTAAAGTTCTTCATCATCTGTCAAGCTATTTCAAGATCCAAATATCCAGCTGGCCTATGACTACATCCTAAAAACAATAATGACAGGCTTTATAAACCTTTTTTATGGCCTGTTTATGCAAAAGGGCACAATGCCCAATACCTATCAACAAGGAGCTGTGTTTGATGAACTAGATTCTACCTCCACCCAAATTAATCAAAAAATCTGTCACTGAAATCCTGTGGGAGTTGGGTCTGAAAACCCATATGCTGAAAGAGTAAGAAAATCAAGGGGAAAGAAAAATAACATCTAGAAAGTACCAAAACCAGAAGTACAGATTTCAGATGGAGCTTATTTTAATTGTTACAATTTTCTGTGGAAAAAAAACCAAAACATATATATATATATAGCTGAAGACTACTCGAATGTGAAGTTCTATTCCAGAACAGAACAGCAAGTACAGTTTGTCTAGAAATTACTGAAGTCCCACATCTTACTTGCCTTCCATACTCTGAGAAAATCTATTTGCTGCAGTGTCTTAAGCTCTTGTGGATGAGCTACAATCAGTGATTTGCCAGCCTGGCTGAAATGAACATTAGAGCCAGCTCACTGTGCTGCCTGGATTGTAAACACTAAAACAGAAACCAGACCTTCATTTAGGAAGAGCAAGAAGCAGCAGACTTCTTCAAAATCATCAAATAGATATCAAATTAATTAATTGTAATTATGAAATCATGTAACCAACCATTTGTTTGGCCAAGAAAGAAAAATGTTATTCCATTCCAATAGCTTTATTTTAAGGTTGCCACTCAGTGTTGAACACAAAATATGAGCCCGTTCACCCTCTTCCATTGATAATCTCTTCATTGATGGTAACGGTTAAAATACACAAAACCTGAAAAGTTCAGTCAGTGTTCGCATTTGGATGATTTCACCCTGCTTATTATTGTTCTCCACCATGACTTTCTCAGTTACTTCCTTTTTGAACATGCGTTGAAGAGGCTAAGGTCCAAATAGAACATGTTTATAGGTATATATGTTGTACTTGGATTTAGAAAACATTTCTAATAAACATTACTAAGCAGTAGACTTCTTTAAAATCAAGATTTCAATCTGTAAAAGCATCTGTGTGTATGACCGAAAATCACATCGTCTGACACAACCAGTGGGTGGCACCTAATGAATACATTCAGTGAATGTGAAGTGCCATATTTCCTCTTTTTATCTGAGCATAATCTAACAAGTACGTAATGTGAGGAAGGAACTGCAGGCAGCACCCATGTGTGCCATGTATGTTCATAAGCACAGAGATAATTGCTACTCTAATGCAAATAGTGATTACTACTGGATAAGGTCTGAAGTTCAAACGAAATACTTTATAATACTGCTGTAAGACAACTGCCCTACAAAATGTTTTCTTTTGGTTAGAAAAATTGTAATTCAAGCATGTCCTTCCCTTTAAATTCAGAGGCAAATCAAATATCCTTCTGTTTGGCAAAGAGGTGTTAGAAAAGAAAACAAAACCTCTGTATCAGCCTAAAGTATGCAAATTCAAGAGGGTTTTTTTGTTTGTTTGTGTGTTTGCTGTTTGTTTTGTTTTTGTTTTTTTTTCCCGAAAAGATTTCTGGCTTCCACATCCACAGCATCGAAGCCAACTGAAGGCTGTGTACAGAGTGGGGAAAAGCACATTTGATCCTGAGGCTGAGTAAAAATAGTTATAATTTCTGTGCTACAGCAACAGAAAAAAACACTGCAGGCTCAGATTCTTGCAGGGAAAAGAAACCAAAAAGTGAAGCATGTTAAAGCATTACCCTAAGAAATGAGGAGGAATCAAAGACTTCCACTTTAGGAACCAAAACCTCACATTCATAATATTCTGTCTTATTTAATTTCAACTATCCTTGAAGGTAACAAACAGCCACTAAATTCTTTCAGCAACTACTTGTACTGACAGACTGAATTAAGTTTCTATCATATCATACATTTATGTCTTTCTATCATGAAATGTAGTGTCACCTTTGCAATCCTTAGGCAAGTTTAGAACACTGACTGACTTTTATTATCTGTCATATTGAAAAGTATTTCTGCTTGTTGTATCACCTGAAAACAGAGGGTATTTCTCCTTTGAAGAGAAAACTACTTAACAAATTGTACAGTTAAAGCTTATTATGCTCCCAGATTACAAGGCATGTAAAGTCTGAACAGCCTTTTAAAAAAAAATTTAAAATGTTTTCTTTAATAAGAAGTGGAAAGCAAAAAAGAAAAAAAAAGACATACTGCATGTATTTAGTTTTATTTCTAGAACTAAATAGCTCTGAAAGTTTAGAAAAAATGTTTTTGAGTCTTTTGTTTTATATTTAACTCATAAGGTTGTAGTTTCTTACAGAAAAACAAAAATGCTCTGCTCTGGTCTACCAACTCCAACTCATTTGGAGTTACAATGTACACAATCCAGTAGAGGTGGGACACCATTATAGCACTAATGTCCAGCATTAAGAGACCATTCCGCACATAAAATGGTGAGTCATCCATCTGGAAAACAGCTTTCACAGTCTGATGTCCCAGCATTGTCTGCATGCTCACTCTTAGGGCTGCATTTATTATCCAGTGACTTTCCAGCCAAGTTACTAGGTCTAAAGGTAACTGGAATCACAGAATCACCAAGGTTGGAAAAGACCTTTAAGATCATCCAGTCCAACCATCCTCCTATAACCAACAGTACTCACTAAGCCATGTCCTTCAACACAAAATCCAAATGTATCTTGAACACCTCCAGGCTAGGTGACTCCACCACCTCCCTGGGCAGCCCATTCCAGTGCCTGACCACTCTTTCAGAAAAGTAGTATAAGGGTTAATATCATTAATTGAAGTCTTTTATTTCTGCTGTTTTCAGACCAGTCTTAAAGTAGAATTCTTGTGTGGGAAAAAAAAAAGAAAAAAGAAAAAAATTAAGAAGTTTTATTGGCACAGACATGAAATGGATGAGAACATATATTAAGAGGATTAATTACACCCGGATTTATGCACAGACTCATTATAATCAATGCACAGCGATGTTTTCAAAATTAACAAAAGGAAGGATTATGCTTTTGAGGCAGTGGGGAGTCAAACCATCAAGGAGAACAAACTTAGGAGCTGTGGGTGAGCAGGAGGCTGCTTACCTTCCACACACGAGGGCTGAGCCCGCGTTGTCCCAGCCACCTGCCCCGGGAAGCAGGAGCACTTGACTGTTTGCGATCGTTCCTCAATCCGGTTCTTATTGCAGCAACGATGCACTGCCACAACCTCACATGTCCCTTGCTTGACTTGGTGCTGGCCTAATAATTGCAAGGATAAGTGATGGAGAGCAAAATAAAACATCAGTGTATAAAGAAAAAGTCACTACTCTTCAAATAGATGGCAACCACATTTCCCCAGGACGCTGGGCTCCTTGTACTGGACTGTTTTCCTCCAGTCGCCTCCTAAACCCTTGCTCAGAAACCCCACTTCACAATACTCTTCTCTTTGCACAACTCATTTCCACATCCTCACTTTCTGAACTGCCTTCAAGTGCTTCATCTTGTCTTACACAGAGTCTGTCTTTCACAGATTTGTCTGTCTTACACAGAGTAGAGCCCTGAATGGCTCTTATCTCTGTTTGTAAAGCACCTTGTAAATTAACACTACTATGGAAAAGGGTGCTGGGTTTTGTTTGATTTTAATTTTACTACATTAGACAGATGATGCCAAAAATATTCAACACCTAACTAGGAGAAGGGACTAAAGTACAGATATTGATGTAAAGGTATGCAGTATCAGAGCTACTGAGATGTAGCAAAACAAGTGAAATATTACAATGGCAAGCTTGTAGAACTACCCTGCTTGCACATCAAGTATCTGTAACTAACTATACAGAGGGCATCTTGCTCTGATTCAACATGGACACGTTTACATGGTTACATCCTTATAGACAAGATGTTACCAAATGATTAAGTGGGAAACCTTCAACAAAGTTAGCAATGCAATTTAGGCCTCCAAACTGGTTTCCCATGACAGAAAACAAAAAGAGGACTTGGCAATGTTACTTTGCCGTGTGTGTTTTTGTTCCACAAGTACTTCAAACACAGCTGGAGGGCTGCCTGACTTTTCTTGCCAAATATGTATTCACAACCACCTCAATGGGCAGAAAACTATGTATACGAAATCCTGGAAAGGAAATTTAGTCTTTATTTTTGCATTCTACATGTAAAAAGAAATTCTACGCACAGAGGTGTTTGGATGCCTTTTTTTTTTCCTCAGGAAAAACCGACGCTGAACATCTAAGCAAAATGTGCCAGAGCAGAAAAAAGCATAATGCATTTTACAGAAAGTAGGAAAAATGTTGAAGACAGCATAAAAGTATCTTACATATCTACTGTATTAAGTTTACCGGCAGACTATGAATTTCCATGCAGGTACATAATGCCTGTATCATAGTAAACATGAAAAAAAGGTGAAAACAGCTATGAGCTCGTAGGTCAGCAGCTTCTCTGTACGTCAATAAAAAAAAATAAAAGCACAAACAGACAAATTAAATTGGCTGTGCCACTTCATTCCAGAGTATTTTTCTACAAAACACCTCTGAGTGACAGCGTTTGGAGATAATGAGTAGATGGACAGAGATTGTGACAGAAAAGATTTTGTAAATTGAGGTTGTTAGTCTGAGAGCATTTCTCTATTTATTTATTTATTGGATCAAAGTCGTGAGCTAAAACACTTTGGAGTAAACAGGGTAAGTTTCCATTGGCTTAGAGTAGTGGTCCTGAACTCTCTGGAATCAGTGGCAAAATTCCTCCTGACTTCAGGAGAGCAAGGTTACTGGGCCATGACCTGAGAAGGACACTTCATAACGGAGTGAGGAAAGGAAAAAAATGGAACTGCTCAAGCCACATACTTGAGTTTGCTATGTATCTCACCTGAAAGACCAAGTGGTCAAGTCTTGTTTTAATTAAAGTCATTATTCAACTCACATTAGATGCCAAGATAAGAGAAGAAGCCATTTTGTCAGAGAGTACATCGTAAGGATGGACTAGAGCCAGCTCCAGGGATCAATATGTAGCTGAAAGAATATCTCTTTTCAAACCCAAACCCTGCTTCCTTGAGGTGAATAGCCCTGAGAAGTCAATACCAAAATAAATCAAACAGGATTTGACCCCCAGGAAAAAAAAAAAAAAAAAAAAAAAGCTCCAAGGGCTTACTTTCAATTATCTTATTTGAATTTTGAAGCACTGGAATTGCTCCTGTAAAGTGCCAGGAGTCAACAGGAGCTCAGATACTTGTGTAAGGCAAAATTACGTTACATCCCAGGTGAGTCCTGTGGCTCAATAGCTGTTTTGCTATATGATCATTCATGCACAAGCAAGAGAAGGTGTCTCCTCTTTGCTGGCAGAGGTAGGATTTTAAGGTTTGAGAGTGCTGCTGCCGTGCAAAGGAAGACAGAGCTCCTATCCTTTGCCCCTGGCATGCAGATCCTATGGAGTAAAACAGCAAAAGGTACTAAAAAGCCAAAGACATCTGCATGCATCATTTGCATTAATTGGATTGCCCTTGTAATAGTCTTTTCCCTCCTACATACTCACATCTGTATTTCCTCCTGCTTGTTCACGCAGATCTTAACAACCCTTCATTCTGTTGAACACCCGTATGCATTTCCTCTTAATGTTCAGGCACATTTGCGAACAGGTGCTGAACAATTGCTAAGCACTAACAAGCTAGCTCTGTGCACCATTTTTCTCAACATTCAGCAATCTAGAGGACAAGCACTCAGTGTGCAGAGTGGCTTTCAGAGTTCACAAAACTCAACGAGTACCTAAAAAAACTAACCATCAACTCAAACAGGCTATTTGCTGCCTAAATCTCTTGAAATCTTATCTACATCCAAGCGCCCAAATGCAGAGAAAAGAAAGAATACAAGAATACTTTTCTGTACACTTTAACCTTCATTTTGCCACTAGATAAACCTTCAGCTCAGGTTTAGAGTGCATTTAAGTTATGGCTAAGAGTAGAAGAATCAAAATGCTCAAGAACAATCTCAAAATATTTTATAATGAATGGATTCTCAGGAAGACAGCATACTGGAGAAGTGGGGTCTGAAGAATTTTTTAAAGTGTGAACATCACAGTAAATGAATTCTATGCCAGGAAAGCCATTCCAGGGAGAACTGCAATGAGAGATAGGTAGAAAACCAGAACTGGGAGAGCAAAGCCCCTTTGGGCTCACTTATAAAAAGCCTATAAATTCACAGCTCTTCACCTGTAAACCTATTCAGATCTGCAACCCAAGGGCTGTCAATATTTGCAGTTGAAATTCAGTTACATCTTCACATTTAAATAAGAGAACTCTCCAAGGAGAGATGCATTTTATCAGCAACAGTACTAGAGAAAGGTTCCTGCTGTTGAACACCTTCTGCATACTGAAAGAGATGTCTGCCAGTCAAGCACTGTGGAGGATAGAGGACAAATCCTAAGGACTGTAGGACACCAGGCTGCTTCTGATCAAGAGTTTGGCACAGGTGATGTTCTCCATATCCCTCATCTCTCAGCTTCCTCAGAATTACTAATGCTAACTAACAACACCCTCTACATCTCTCCATGTAGGACTCAGACAAAATGGGAGAGTGCTTGTTAATGGAAGTTGCTTCTGTTTAATACAATTGTTCAACTATTAAATTTGACAAGACTTTGCTTTCACTTTCTTCTATTTAAATCAAGGGGCAGGTATGCAATTAATGCTTCTAAAACTCTGCAATCTTCAAATGAAACAAAGAAAAACACAATTATTGTCAATATCAAACATCACAGTGATGTACTTCAAAACTACAAGGAAAAAGAAAGAAAGAGATGGACCTTCAGAATGCTACTAGCTAATCCTGTCCATGTCCATGTCATCTCTGACTAATTCTAATCCCTCCCAAGAAATTCTTCCAATGCTACATGCACACAGACTGCACGCCTTTATCAGAAAGGCTTAATCCTGGATAACCTCCTCTTCTAATTTCTTAGCTCAGAAACATATGGAAACAGCACATATAAAGAAGGTTTTTAATTTCTCTTTCATAAGTTGTTCCATTTGATGAGGAATGCAACTAGCACTGTGAAGAACAATGTATCTAGGATAATACAACCCTATCTCAGCACATTCTTCGCTGAGCCTCGAAACCAGCAAGCCTGGTCTGCACACAAAAACCTCGCATCATTTATTTAAAAGGTAAGGGGACGTCTGCCAATAAAGAGATGAATGGCTATGGAAGCTAATGCTGCACCAACAGTATTAGAAACAAGTAAGTTAAAAAGTCAGCAATGCAGCATGAAAAAGAAAAGCACTCCAAGAATCCCAGTACCAGTTCATCTGTTCCGTCTTCATTTCATGTTAGCTTTTGCTTACGTAAATGCTCACCAAGAGGTGAATATTCCTCCAGAAAAACAAACAAACAAATAACTAAATAGTATTTGCTGTTTTTTACATTTTGTTACCCAAGATACATATGAGAACCTCACCAGATCACTGTTGCACTGTTTGTGTGTCTGTGTCTTCGTGAGATGAGGGAAGGGGAAATGGAGAGGGGGCATTTCCAAAAACAACAGGGGTTTCTAGAAGAAAAAGCTGAAAGTCACTTGGAATGTAAAACTAAGACATCCTCTTCTAAGATGAAATGAAACCAGAAGGCTTCTCTGCTAATATTCCACCCACCACTGGATTTTTTCACAATCATTTCACATTCACATCAAGGTCCTGACCTAGATGCTCTCTTTCAAGGATGCACAATACTTACATGAATACTTTCTCATAAACTGTCTCTGCATACACAGCTTGGTTCACTTTTGCTTGTAAAGCTGTATCTTTTCACTTGTTGGCAGTAAAAAGACTGTTCAGAGGCAGTCCAGATCTGCCACAAAAAGACATTTCAACTGCTTTCCAGATAAACAGACAAGAGATATCTTCCCATAATCACCTGCCCATGATAACAGAGCAGATGTAGTACAAAACCAAAAAGAGAGAAAAGGTATTCAGCTTGCTATCTATCCATTACTTTCATGGTCCTTCCTCACATTCATAGCAGTATTCTGATGACTGAAGCTAACAACTGTAACAAAGCAAGTAAGAAGAGATGCAGTGATCTCCCACATTAAGAAGCTGACACAAATGCTCACACAGTATTCATGTTTCCAACCAAAGAGTTCCCATAACATTGCATCCCGTGTTCCAATCAAAACATTTCTGCATCTGCTGTTGCAGCAGCCAGCAACATGGGATGTCCAAAATCCCAAACAATATTGTAACAAGTGAACCAGCACTGAAC